AATAAATAAATTAATAGAGGAAATGTTTTAATAATAAAAAGAATCAAAACCAAGAAGAATCAAAAGTGAACATAACAATAATGCATTAATTAATTATTTATTATTTCATTGTTCATGAAATAAATTTGGTTTTCATTATCAAAATAATTATTTGTTTCTGTTTTATTAGACTTAATTAAATCATGAATTGCTTTTCCACGTTGAATAAATGGTCGAAGTACTTTATCTGCCATCAAGGTATTATGAACAGCTCTACTGGCATTTAAAACAGTTTCACGAACTAACTTAGCAATTTCTTGGAAACAAACAATACTACCAGTAACTAATGGTCCAAACAATGGAATATTTTCTTTTCGATAAATTTCTATAACAATTCCATATTGATGAGGTCGTAAAATAATGAAAACATTACTAAATTGTGTTACTATTGAACTAACATCAATACCTTGATCTCCTTCAACATAAATTACTTGAACAAAACTACTAAACATTTGTTTTTGTTTTTCTTGAATATTTTCTACATCATTACTCATTGTAGCTTCATTAAGTGAATTAAAAATAATTTCATCTCTCCATGTTCCATAATATTCAATTCCTTTCTCAAAGGAAACAGATTTAAATTCCCAACTTAATGCATTTTTAAAGCTTTTAAATCCTTCACTAGTTTCTTTATTATTCAAAGCTTCTAATAAAGTTTGATTTCTTTTAACATAATATAATGCAACTTTATGTCCTTCTCTTAATGGTAATTTATCAATTTGTTTAATTGCTAATTTAAATTTATCATTTATTTCAAATGGATGAATTGAATGTGCAATTGTTGGTAATGCATTTACTTCAATAATTTGAGAAACAAATGCACTAATATTTGGATTTGTTTCTTTATGTTCTTTTTCTATTTCTTCTTCTTCTTTTATTATATCTCTTTTAATAGTATTAATAATTTCTTCTTCTTTCATTCGTTCTTCTCCAAATAATTCAATTTCTTTATTTAATGATTCAATATCATAAATTTCATCTTTTTGCCATGTAAGAATATCCTTATATCCTTCTTCCATTTCATTTAAAATATTATGTAATGCTCCATCATTTTCAAAAACAGTCTCTTTAATTTCTCTCTCTTTTAATTCAATCATTAAGTCTTTCCAGTCAAAATCTTTTATTTGTTCTACTTCAGAAATACTTCCCATCTTTAAACTAGATTCAACCCATATTGGTTCAACATCCCAACTCCATCTTCCTAATGCATCTCTTATAGTAATTCTACATAATTTTTGTTCATTCTTATTAACTTCAATCTTAATTTCATTTTCTTTTTTCTTCTCTTGTTGTTGTTCTGTTGGAAATTCAGTAAGTAAATTCTCAATAAGTTCTTCTTCTTTTTCTGAATTATTCTCTATATGAATTTTAGTGATAGTATATGGTTTACTAATACTTAAAATTCTTGACTTTCCAACAACAAACCATGCAGAAGATGTTGTTTCTTCTGGTCCACTAATTCTATCAATTCCTTTATTTCCAAAAATTCCATAATGATGAAGAACTGTTTCAATAAATAAATCAGCTCCTTCAGACGCTCCCATTTTATTATTTGGTTCATGTTTTATTGCCAATGCTATAGTTATAGAATCAACTAATTTTTGAATTAATTCAGTTGTTAAAGAATAAGAAAAAGAAGAAGGACCTCCAACAAAGAAGTCTGATAATGTAAGGAATATTGTTCCTATAGTTTGACTTTCTACTTCTTTTTTGATTATAATATCACACAACATTGAAATCATAAGTATTACATAATCTTCTGGAATATAAATACGAAGTAAATTAATAGCATTTAAAACATTATCAATCACATTTACATTTTGGTTTGGTTGAATAAGATTTATAAGATTAATTACTAATTCTTTAAGATTATAATCTTCGGTTTTATTAATAATAATTGTCTTTTCAATAAATTGTTCAATAATCCAAACAAAAGTAATAATACCAGTAGATGTTTTCATTTGTTTAATACCATCATTTATTACTTCTGAAATAATAGAGTATAAGGACTTTTCTAATGTAAATTGTTTAATTACTTCTTTAGAAGAGAAACAAATATTAATCATTGTTGTTAAGAGTTGATTCATTTTCATTTCATTATTTCCATCAAGTCCAACCTTTTTAAAAGCTAAGAACATTTTAAAAAATTTAGGAATTAATATTTCACTTCCAGGTAATTCAACACTATAAATATTATAACATCTAATTAAAATTGTTTCAATAACTTGGTTATTATCTTCTAATGAAACTTCATTAATCATTTGATAAAAATATCCATATACTTTACTACTTGTTTTTGGTATTTTTCTAATCATTAAATCACACATAGAACCATATAATAAACATTTTTCATCTTCATTATCTGTTCTTTTTAATGCTTTAATTAAAAATGGTAAAAATGTATCATATAATTGAATTCTTCCTTCTTCATTAAAATCATTATTTGTTTCTCCATATGAATCAACAATAAGTAAATATTCTAATGTTCTCATAAGTACTTTACAACAATTTAAACGTGCAATTGGTTCTAAAGTATCAATATCTTGAAACATTTCATTAAAAATATTCCATAATCCAAGAATGTCTGTTGTAGTAAAGTTAACAAGATATTGTTTTAATGATTCATCTTCAGGAATTGTTTCTTTTTCATCTATTTTACTATCAAATTGAATTAATTCAACTGTTTTTAATTTCATCATTTGAAGTTGAATTGGTAAAGGAGGTTGTGTAATTTCTTTCTTATGATAATGTTTATCAATTAATTCTTTTGTTAACTGATTAAATTTTCGTTCAATCTCTGCAATAACCATTTCTTCTTTTAAAAATGGTTTTAATCTTTGTTGAAGTTCTTTCCATTCTTCTATATTTGATTTATTCCAATAAATCCAAACTACAAATAAACAATCAACAACTACTGTAATCAATAATTGTGTTTGAACTCCAACTTTTTCAGGTAAAAAGCCTAATGCTCCTTCTTCAACCATTTTAACCATTTCTATTTTTAATGATTCATTAAAATAAGATTGTTGTAATGATAATAAGATTGTTTTGATTAAATTTTGTATTAAAATCTTTACTTCTGGTTCTTCATTTCCTTTATTTTTAATAAAAATCTTCGTGATTTTTGATATGATTTCTTTTTGAAATTCAAGAAGTTGACTTTCTGTTGTATTTTCTGTTTTTAAAAAGGAAGGATCATTGAAAATGAAATTAGTAAAATATAATTGAACAGCTTTTGTTATTAGTTGATGTTCAATTACATCTAAATCAATAGAAATATCATAAAAATACATTAATAATTGTAAAAGATTATTATGATATGGTGTAATAGCTTTTAATAATGTAGTATTTAAAAGTGTTTTAATAATGTAATCTAAAAGGTCTGTTGGGATAGTTTTATTTGTATATCCTGTTTGTTGTTTAAAAGTGTCAACACAATAAGTTTTACAATAATCAGAACAAATATAAGAAAGTAACTCTTTAAATAAAGGATAAAGAATTTCTGGATTATTAGTAAGATATTCAAAGAAGATATCAAGTAATCCATATGTTTGTTGTTTTGGTTTTGTAGTATCATTAATTTCTGAATGAATAGGAGTTGGAGTTCCAACAGGAATATGAGTACAAGTAAGATGAAGTGTTATATTATTACTAAATCCTTCAAGATTTAAAGAACCAATAAATAATTTAGGATATGTTGTTTCTTCAGAAACTGCATTTAATTTAACTAAAATATTCATAAATGATTTAAAAATACTTTTACGCATAGGATATGGTGTTTCTACTGCTAAAAATGTTGTTAAAATTGAATTAATTGGTTCAAGAAATGTAACTTCACTTGGAGAATAATTTTCAGCAGCAAAATCCATTAATGTTTCTACTAGTAAGCAATCTTTTTCTGTTAATGGTTTTTGTTTTTTATATAATCCCTCTAATGATGGTGGATATAATGAGAATAATCCATGAAGTAATGATTTATGTTCTTTAAATATTTGTGCTAATTCTTCTTTTTTGTTATTCTCTAAAAAAAATAAAATTGCTTTTTGTCTACTAGATGGTTCACTTTTTCCATCTAATATTGTTTGTTTATGTTTCTTTAATTTTTTCTCTATGTCATTAAGTTTTTGTTTACTCGACATTTCTTCTTTTTACTTCAATTAATTTTCAAAGTTCTTTTTCTTTTTATTTTTTCTTTTAATTTTTTTTTTCCTTTAAAATAGTTATTAGAATTTGTAGATTTCTCACTTGTTAAATGAAACGCTTCACAAATGTTGTTCGTAAAAATGAAAACAGTTCAC